GGAAGTGGCTTAAGCTTCTTAGTGCTGTGCTTTAACCCACTGCACCACAGGGAGGGCCCCCATTTTATATCTTCAATGATTTTTTTTAGCTCTTGTTTTTGTTGGATATATAGACAAGTATTTTATTTTGGGTTGATACATAAATTGTCTTGCCTCCTTGATATTAGTGCAATTATTACATAGGCAACAATATGAAAAACATTGGATGCCATAAAGAAGAAAATTGGACTGTTGAGGGACCCTAAGACTTGGTAAATGACAAGTGATGAGTTAGTTCTCACTGTGTGTGTGTGTGTGTGTGTGTGTGTTTTTTTTTCTAATCTCTCACTCTAAGTTTGGAGTCTGTTGAGTTCTGGTCTCAGGATTGGTCATTCAAATGACGATTCTACCAAATACCAGTGTATATAACAGATAAGTAAATTACTTATCCTCTGTATACTTACAGGTAAAAAGGGACTTGCAGATGTTTGTATAAGTACTTGATGTTGAGTGCTTTGCAATTATTACCCCTTTTATTCTTCATGTAATCACTATTATTTTTAATTTTTGCAGGTGATGGTGCTCAGACCCAAAGAAGTTAGATAACTTTAAGGTGGCGACATGGTGACTCATCTGCATGTCAGCTGATCCTCAAACCTGAACCCTAGGCTGTATTCTGTACATGTACTGTAATGCCACATTCCATGTAGGGGCATTTTGATACTTAAATAAGGAAATAATCTAAAGTATTAACTGTACTGATTCACTTTTATTTACATATTCAGGGCATGTTGTTTTTTATTATGGCTTCCTTCCTGCTCTGCCAACCACACGTGTGACTCACAGAGCCCCTTGCCAGGCATAAAAATACATGTAAGTGAACGGGCTGATTTAGGTACTATTCAACCCTCTATTCCTCAAAGCACCATTACAGTGCTACTTCCATGCAGAGCTCAGAGAAATGCCCTTCCCTCCTCCAGTATGATGCCACTGAATCATCTGTACTTGTGTCTAAAGCATCACAACTTTTATTCACTAGTCCCATCAGCATCAACTCTGGTCACACTTAGATGCTCAAGTGAGTATGTGGCATCAGATTGGGGACAGATGCCAGCCAGTCCACTGTCCTGCATACACCATCTTTCTTTTCTCTTACCACTGTTTCCCCCACCATCAATTTCACCTGTCTTTCCTTCTCACTGTCCTTTTTTCCAGCTGCCATATTCGTGTCTACAGATGTCCTTTATATTGCTAGCTTTATAGAATTCAACTTAAGTTTCCATGTCTAAGATTTTCTCGCCTGTTTCATTATATTCCTGCTATGAGTGAAACCATCTGGTATTTTTCCTTTTCTTTCTGGCTTATTTCACTAAGCATGATCTTTTCCAGCTCCATCCCTGTGGGTTTTTTTTTCTTTTTGGTTGATAAGTAATATTCCATTGTGTATATGTAGCACATCTTTTTAATCCAGTCATCCATTTTGGACATTTGGGCTGTTTCCATGTCTTTCCAATTGTGAATAAAGCAAGAATAAAATTGGGGGTGCAGGTATCTTTTTGAATCAGTGTTTATGTGTATTTTTGGGTAGATACCTAGGAGTGGGATTGCTGATCATAGGGAAGCTCCATGTTTAGCAGTTTGAGGAAACTCCAAACAGTTTTTCATAGTGGTTGTACTAGTTTGCATTCCCACCAGCAGTGCAGGAAAGTTCCTTTTTCTCTACATCATCACCAACATTTGTGTTGCTAGTTGTTTTAAGATGTGCCATTCTCACTGTGTGAGGTGGTATCTCATTGTGGTTTTAATTTGCATCTCCCTCATTACAAGTGACGTTGAAAATTTTTTCATATGCTTGTTGGCCATCTGCATT